AATCTTGACAGTGTTTACTATAACAGGCATACTCTGAATAGTAGGTTTGTGGGGCTCAATATGTGTTCCTAATTGTGTCATTAGCTGACAGGTGCAGCGCCGGAAGCTTTGTGTCTTTAGTCCTTTTGTCATATGACAAGAACGCAGGTGACATACACTTCTTCATGTTTCTGTGCCTCAGGCAGGAGTCTGCCCTCATCTTCTCCCTCCAAACTGAATACCAGGTGAAATGATGGGTACGGAGGTACGTTTGCTGGTCAGTTTGTGTATGCACCATATTGCAGCCCACGGTTATGGAGATGGAAAGTGTTTTCTCGACCTTGCGTGCTTTCTCAATTTCTAGTTTACTTATCGGATAAAGCCGGTACAGGCATTTGAGAACTGGGATGTGCCAGGTTCTGTGTTAGAGGCTCATTGTTCAAAACTGTCTGATGTCTCTGCTTGTTTTTAGGGAAGTTACTTTGAGTTTTAAAGTCAGGTTCAAATAACGCTTATGCAGGTCTCCTGGAAGCCGAGGTCTCGAGTCCACCACTGTGCCTGTGGCTGAGCAGTGAGGGGAGGAGCAAGAGCTGTGCCGAGGGAGGGTGGGGAGGGAAGAACCCAGGGAGCCTTCCCCTTCCTGGGAGCCCAGGAGAGCCCGCCTGGCCCTGCTGTGGCTGCGATTTCTGGAAAACATCATGCTGTAAATTCAGACAGACTTGCTTTTGGGCCATCAGATGCCACTGAACCAAAGAAGAGAGAAGCCAGATACTGTGCAGATTCCCATGTTTCTTTAGTGGGATCCCAGTGATCACAGTGGTCGCCCGGACGCCCACAGGAATGGCTGCAGGCTGCCCCGTGGCTCTTCCTCTGGGGCAGCCAGGCTTCTCTCCGTCCTCCCAGTGATCTGCTAAGCAGTGGGCCTGGAAGTTCATTTTCATCGTTGTGTTGGAGCCCAGGGCAGGAGAATGTGATCATTTCAGGGGGACAAGAGTCACTGCATGTTACTGACTTGCTGAGTGGATTCTAGTGATGATCAAAGCCCGGAATGAACTGCATGTGACTCCATTTTGTAGGGAATCAAGTGGAAGCGGGGCATCGTTGTCATCGCTGTTGGAAGCTGTGATAGGGCAGGGGAAGCCCTTTATCGCTGGCTCTGTCACCAGATCACTGGCAAAGCTGAGCCTTTTGACAGGTGGAAGTAGAGTATTGAGAGGACTAGAACTGGATTTTTGAGAACCAGATCATACTCTCAGATAACCAAAACACCAGATATGTAGAAATTTTTTTTGCTTTTTAGTTTTTTGGATACGGTATGTAGTTCAGGCTGGCTTTGAGATCATTTTGTGGTTCAGGCTGGACTCAAACTCATGGAAATCCCCCTGCCTCAGCCTTCTGAGTGCTGCCTGGCTAAGAATTGCATCTCTAAGGTCTAATTATCTTTTCTACCAAATGATGTTTGAAACATTCACCTTTTTTCAGTATTCCTCCCTACTTCAGGAGGATGGGTGAATAAAGAGTACCATGCTGTCAATTATAGCAGCACTTACTAGTTTAAAATAATTTAGGTAGTGATGGTTTCAAGCATTTAAAAACGATGCCAGAGAATCATTGTCAGAAAATCATCTCTGTGATGTTTGTAAAATCATGCAGTTTGAAAAATTCATGGTTATGTATTTGGATGGTGGTGAACCTGTTGGGAAAAAAAACGTGCCGTGGAAGGATTATGAAAAGCAGCTGGCTCCTGCCTGGGTCCTCTCCTGGCCACCTCTCTGGAAGCAGCCACTTGGAAGTATTTCTGCTCTCTGGTGACCAGGTCAGTATGTTCTCTAGGCGGTGTTCCTCCTGAACCCACGTCTCCTGCTGTGCTTGGTGCTTACAGCTGTTCTTTTGATTGTTTGGTGCCTGCCATGTAGGGGGGGCGCTCAGTATTAGTTGCCCCGTCTCCCAGAGTGCTAGATGACAGGTGTGCTCCCCGATGCCTGGCTGTGTTTCCTTAGCAACTCCCTCCCTTCTCCATGGAAGAGACACTGGGAGGACAGAGGTCACCCAGGTGTTACCAGCTCACTGAATCACCTAGAAACTTCTACTGTGAGCTCAGCGTGGTTCCATGGGGACTTCATAGCTCAGAGTCCCTGACATCACTTCCTGTCCCTAGAAATGCAAACACCTGAAATGCTACCTTTCTTTTTCCTTAACTAATAAGGTGTAGGTATTATCTTATCTGCATTGTTCATGTCTTTTTCACTTCCTTGTACTTTCTTCATGTCATTTGCCAGTTTTTATAGCTGAAGATTGTAGATTCCATGCTCTTATAAAAAGTTACACGATTTTGATAACTTTTCAAAGAAGGTTTGTTTCCAAATCAGTATTTTCAAATTTCAATCACCTTCTATCTTAATACTGAGGATATAGAAATATTTATTAATGGTGAAATACATTTTATTATGTTATTAATTTATTATCAGATTGTCACTTTGTCTGTTGTTTTCTGTATTGTTGTTGTTGTTTGTGTTTTTAAATGAAAACCCTTCTTAAAGTTTTAAATAGGGCCACATATTCAAAATGTAGATCTCAGCATATGTCAGTAAGCCTCTGGTAAAACCTAGGAATAATTTATTGCTTTTCTTTTTTAGTATGCCAGGCAAAACCACAGTGACACTCAATCAATAAAAGTAAATAAATGCTATCCATTTTGTCATGCTGATATTTTTAAACCAATCCTGTTTAGCAGTGTAGTATCCAAAATGGTCATGGAATGCAATTTTAAGAAAGTGGTTAGGCTTCTTTTTAAGCTCAGGTATTATATCTTAGTCATTTTTTGGAACGCTGATGGCGTTCCTGCATAAAAGCTATATCTACTGATGACAATTGTTACATCTCATGTCTCTTACAAGCTGGTTTTGTCAGTTTGACCTTCCTGATTCACTTGATCCTTGAGGACTGAAAGCAGTCAGCCTCAGACAGTGTGTCACCATTTTTTACTGCTCTTGGTATGGTAGCTTTTGGCTGGGGCTGTGTCCTGGAGGCATGAAGAGCAACTGGAGAAAACCCCAGGATGCCCAGGCAGAATGTTATTTGAACTCCTCCCCTTCCCTTCCTGTTTCTTAGGTAAGATTTTCCTTGTGCTTGGTCAATAGAGGGAATGCTGTGATACAGACGAAACTGAAATCAGGTTGGTGGTTCTTAGAACTGCTTGCCTACAGAAAGCCAGAAGGGGAGTTCCACATGGGGGCTTGTCACTCTGTCCTCGGTAAAATATACACTGTATCTCTTTTTTATTAACTTACATTTAATAAAGACAGAATCTGAGCACTTCCTGTTTTTCATATTTAAATCTTCTTTATTTACTAAAAACTACTCCTGAGAAAGAACATGGATGGGACAGCAGTGAAAGAAGAAGTGGAAAGGACTCCTACAAGGAGATCAAAGCTGTGTCCCTCCTGTTGTGGGGCTGTGTGTTGAGTAGCAGGCTCCTTGGAAGGTGGAGTAGATCCCAAAGGAGCCATCTTTTCAGTGTATGGGAATTGGGAAAAACCCCACTCTGGGAGAAAGAGACTGAGGAAAAAGCCATGGGGAATTCCTTATTGGGAATACTGGCCAGGCATCAGGAAGATACCTTGGTGACCAGTGATGTAGTGATTTGTCCCTGTTTCTTGGAGGAAGCAAAAGAGGAGGGGGACCTCTCAGGACTTGGTCTCTTGCGGCATTAGAAATGACGGCACTCCACCTGGAGAACGGGCGGGAAGAATAAAGCCTGAACCAGGGCTTGGCTTTGGGCAGGCAGAGATAAATGAGGCCCACCTGGGAGCCCCTGGATGGGCTTCCTCATCCCGCTGGAGGCACAGCCGAGCATCCTGGTGACTCCTCCCCAGCATTGGGAGAGGGTGAGCATGAACAGATGTTGCAGATACAGGCTGGTGGGGGTGGGGGACACGTGGGGTACGCTCTCTGCCAGAGGTGGTCTTTGCCATATTGAGTGTGGCTGGATCTTTGTCAAAAAGTGAGGTTTCAGCTCTGCTGCACTGAGGTTTGGTCTGTGTGAGCATTTTCTCTCATTAAATCCCTGAGGTCTCTTTCAGTGATCCAAACTGCCAAGTTCTCATGGCCTCCCTCTGCAGGGAGGTCATCTGTCCTCTATCATTCCTCTTCCAGATCTTGGGCTCGCTGTCTGTAAGTCTCCAGCTCTTCAGCGGTGTGGCTTCCCATCTCCTCCAGTGTGCAGTTTCTCCTCTTGCTCTGCCTGGGATTTTGCCTGCAGCCTCAGCCTCCAGTGGCATCTCAGGACTGGTGGTGAACTCCAGCCTTCACTGTGAGCTTCTGCTGAAGCTTCTGGCTCTCCCTTCGCAGCTGTGTGTTTGTGGACTGCCCCAGTGCTTGCTGAGTCTGGACGTGGTGCATAGACTGTCAGTGCATCGTTGGTTTGCACTGCTTCTGAAGGTTGAATGTGAAAGTGGTTTCCTTCTCTTCCATAGTTTTTAAGGAAGCATTAAACTGAGCACCATAGAGCAGTTTCTCCAAAGGTCCTTTTGGCCATTGATCTAAGCCAGGACCCTGTTACAGTTGGCTCTTCAGTTCCTGCTGCAAGTTCTCAGCCTGTGCGATGTCCTCTCCAAGTCCCACAGCCTGGCCTTTCGTGAGAGCTAATTAGATGAGTCAGGGAAGATATATACAATAACACTACAGCTAGAACACACGAAAGAAATTTCCCTCTATTGACCAAGTCCCACAGCCTGGGCAGGTGCTCAGTCAGAGCCTTGTGTGCTCTCCCTTCCACTGGAGCATTTTCTGCTCAAGTCTGGGAGTCTTGCAGCATGCTTTTCTGGGAGGCGAATTTGCTCACTTGTTCCTTCCTGTAAGAGCTGTGCCCGGCTTTCCAGAAGTTGGAAATTTTTACTCAGAGTTGATGTGAAACAGGGTACCCTTGGCTTCAGCTACTTGAGCTATGAACAGCTTGATTCCTGCACTAGAGACTGAACCCTGTTGGAGATCTCCGCCATCCTGGATTGCTCTTGTTGAAAATGCCGCGATTGTTCTGCTTTGAAGGTAAAGAGTATCTGTTCATGAAGTTTGGCTCTGTCGCTGGCCACCCTCTTGTCGGCTGCCCCCGACACTGCGCTTCCCTGGCCGCCGCCTCCTTCCAAGCAGGCCTCCTTGAGAGTCAACTCTACGGCTTCGTGCTCTTTTGGAAGTTAGCGGACTTTGTCCAGGAGTTAACATTTTTCCTAAATGAGTCCTGCAAGCTGGAGAGTGAGCTGTTTTTCTCTCCTTACTGCAAGCCAGCATCTAAGGGAGTGAAAAAGCCCTCCATAAATGTAAGAGAAGGGTCAAAAGACCCACCATGGCTGGCCACTCCACAGCACAAGGTGGCTTTTGCAGTTGCCTCTGCTGCCGAGTACTGGCCTAGAATGTTCAGTGCTTGGTTTGGAACCTGGCAACAGGAGCAGACCACTGCTGAGCTGGCTGAGGGAATGGAGTGGGCACCTGGGGAACAGCCCTGGCGGGCATCACAGGCTCAGTTACCCCCTGTGGGGTTCCTTGGGGGTCTCCTTGTTATGTTTTCCATCCTGGAAAAGCACAGTCCATATTCCTCCCCCAGGAGCCTGCGATGCACCTCCATGCCACCGTACCCGCTCCCTGTGTTTCCAGCTGGGTTGGCACTGTTGGGAGGGAGGGTGGCAAAACCATTTTTCAGACACTATAGATTATGTGTACCAATGTCTAAGGAATATACCTTTCAAAAACACATAGCATGAGATGCTGACAGACCAAATATCTCAAGTCAGCGAAATCATCTTGACCAAGAAGAAAAGTTTTTTGTTCACAAAATGATGATGTTTCTGCCACCGTTAGATGTTTTAATCTCAAGTTTATCTACATAAACACACCTTGACTTTAATTCTTTTTTGTTTGTTTGTTTTTTGGTTTTTTCCGGTTCCAGGAATCAAACTCATGACCTTGCGCTTGCCAGGCAGGCGCTGTACCGCGGAGCTAAATCCCCAGCCCCTTGACTTTAATTCTGTGTCTTGATTTATCACATGCCACTTTCTTGTGTCTGCTCTGGACCTCTGTATTTATTCTTTCTCCTTCATGGGGTCATTTTCCTTTCTCCATTCCTTAAATTTCTTTCGTGTGTTCTAGCTGTAGTGTTATTGTATATATCTTCCCTGACTCATCTAATTAGCTCTCACATTATTAAACTATCACTGCCCATCTCTCATCTCTGTACCTTCATTCCAGGTTCTTCCTAAATTCAGCCCCATATAACTGCTTCAAGCTTCACTGGGTGCGTCAGCCTGTATATCCCAAACAGAATCCATCTTCCCATTACTTCATCTCTCCTGTTTTTTCTTTTTTGCCTACTGCTCTTTGCCATGACCTTTTTTTTTTTCAGACAAGGTCTCGCTATGTAGTGCAGACGGGCCTTGAACTCCTTGAACTACTTCATAGCCCCGGCTGGCCTTGAACTCAAGGCAAGCCTCCTGCCCCAGCCTCTCGTGCACTGGGATTACAGGCCTGCACCGCATACCTGGCCTATTTTTGGTCTTATCTGGAATGTCCTTCCTATCCAGTTTGTCCTCACCTGGATAGCTTTCCTCATTCCTTAAGGCTCACGTTAGGCATCTTTGTTGAGAAGCCTGTGCGACCTGCCCTGTCTCTAAACTCCTGAATATCCTGCTCACGTCCCGTCCCCATCACTGAGCACCATGGTGCCATTTTAATAGCTGATCTTTTCTATTAGACAGTGCATTCACTTGGAGCAAGACTGTGTCCATCACACTGCCCTCAGGATGTAGCCTGTGTCTGCCACTTAATAGGAATTCAGTAAAAATGAAATTTGTTGCTGCGTTATTTTTACGTAACAAACACAACCCCTTCTTGTTCTTTGGGAAGAAGTGTACTGATTTAATGTCAAGAGTGAATTACAATTTTCCTTAACCTTCCCTCATTTCTATCCCCCATCTCCCATTCTTCCTCTGTGTTTGAAGGTTATGATACAGGGGTTGTGTAAGAGTTATCTTTTCCTTTGCGAATCAAAGACTTAACTTACGTTGGTTGGATTATTCTGAATCAGTAAGAAAAGAAAAAGAAAACATTTATTCACCTCACCACGTGGAAAACCGTAGACTGGATGTTCTTAGATGGAGTGCTGGACCACTGAAGTTCAGTAATATTACTGGCCCATAAACTCCAAGATAAATTAGAAATAGAACCTTATAACCTTGAAGTTTTTATCTCCTATTATATTTTCTTAACCTTTGTGTCTGCTTCTGCTTGTTATATTAAATGAGCAAATGGAGAAAAGTAACTAAACATTACACTGATAGACATAGAGCAATGATTTTCAAACTCATGTCCATGTAATGTAGTTTCTTCCAGTGGAATAGTTCCTAGCTCACAGTGTATACTTAAGTATATTGTGATAATGCATTTATTTGTATACCTGGTTCGTAGGGAATTTAAAGAGAAAGAAAAAGTTCTCATCCGCGTGTGAGCCACTTTCACTCAGATAGCCTGTTTTTCCCCCTACGACAGAGTTTCACTGTGTAGCTCAGGCTGGCCTTGAACTCTCTATCCTCTTGCCTCTGCCTCTTATGTAGCTGGGATTGTAGGTGTGCGTCACCATGACCAGCTGCAGATATCCTTCAAAGGAGGCCAGAGGTGCCAGTTTGTAGGATAGGATTTGATGCATTTAATGCAGCAATACCATTGCCATGCTATCACAAGATAATCCTTTGCTGTTTTTAACCAGAGTTTACATTTTCTTGTAGCTACTGCATCTTCAAACCGTAAGGTGGTGGTTTGAGCTTTGCTTCCTGAAGAGTAGAAAGTGATGGGTTTTAAGAAAATGAGAAATGTTACTTGAGATCAGCACTGCTTCTGGGCTTTGGAACACTCTGGGGTTTCTTTCATCTTCCATGGAAGCAGCTCTGGGCTGAGCAAGGAAAGCAAACCCTAGGGAGAGCTCCGAGCTTGTCTCTGCCACTGTTACTGGGAAAGAGGAAGGTAAGCACTTCTAAATAGCTCTCAGAGCCTCAGAAGATTGAGTTCAGGTGTTCTGGAAGTAGGAGGCACAGGGTCTTGTGCCTGGCTGGAAGGAGAGAAGTAGCAGAGTGGGGCTTTTAGAACACTGCTGCATTGCAAAAGCAAACCTAGGTTTGTGATATTTTATTTTTTTCCGTAAATTCTTTTTTTTTTTTTTTGTGATACTGAAGGTTGAGCCAAGGGTCTTTGCACTAAGTTGTGTCTGTAGCCCTTTTTATTTTAAGTCACCTTCTTGCTAGGTCAATGAAGTGCCTAGGCAAGGTAAAATTTGTAATCCTTAGCCTCACAGAGACATGGGATTACAGGTGTGCATTACCATGTCTGGTTTTCTATAAGTAAATTTCAAGTTGCATAGAGACAGGTTTTCTCTCTTGGATTGCTGGGAGAGCAAGCACAGTTGGATGAAAATGCTGTACAACAAATCTTAGTCTTGAATCTGTGACATCTTAGTTTTGAACTTTAAAGTAAAGGCGAATGGCCTGTGTATTCTCGGTCATGAAAAGCAGGAGCTATCCATAAATGCCGAGTTTCCTTATCAGTTCCAGGTTGCTTTCCTCTGTTGTGTGATTCTTGCAAAAAAAGCTTCAGTCTAATGTAAGCCAGTAATCTCTTAATACTTTGATACTGTGGTAAGGAAAGAAAGATTGAATTATATACTTTTCCCTTTTACTTGCAAACTAATTGTTGGTTTCCTGCATTTTAAAGGCAGATGTTAATCTCTTTCTTTGATGTTTAACAGTAGGCAGACTCCAGTTGTGTATTAAAGCACTTGATGCCTATCTGTTGCTGGAATGAAGATCAGGTTTTTTTTTTTGTTTTTTCTCCGGTACCGGGAACCGAACTCACGACCTTGCGCTTGCCAGGCAGGCGCTTTGCCGCTGAGCTAAATCCCCAGCCCCTGAAGATCAGTTTTGACAATTGAGATTATGATAGTAGATACATTTTGATCTGGAGGTACAACACAACAGAATGGCAATTTATTTCATTCAGCAAACATTTAGTGGGTTCCTGTCTGGCCCTTCACACGGTTGTTCTCAAATCTCACAAATACCATAAACCCTGTGAACTCTGTCTTATTTTATGGATAAGAAAAATAAGGCACCGAGAATGATTAGAAAATCTGTTCAAGGTTGATATAAATGGTACATTGATATAAATGGCTGAGATCTGATAGGTTTTTTCGGTTGATCAGAGCTGTTAATGGAGTTGCCTTTTTTGTTTTAAATGTTACAATATTGGGGATTAAACTCAGGACTTTCACACTGACCCACAACCCTCCACCCCCACCCCGTGTTTTATTTCAAGAAAGGGTCTCACTAAATTGCCCAGGCTGGGCTCAGACTTGCAGTCCTCCAGCTTCAGTCTTCTGAAATGCTTGAAATATGGGCATGGACTGTCTTGCCTGGTTTGGAGCTGCATTTAAGAGGAGATAATCAATGGAACATAGATTTTGAAGAGTTGGTATAAAATTAGTAACTACAAGCCTCTCATTTATTCATCATGTATATGTATGGTACATGCGTGGTACTGGGGATTGAAGCTAGGGCCCTCATGCTAAGCTACCTCCTCAGCCCCTTTTTTATTTTTTATTTTGAGACAGGCTCCTTCTAAGTTGCTACATTGCTCAGGGTGGGCTAGAACTTGACATAGTCCGTCACCAGTGTCCAGAAGGAAATAGGAATGCAAAAAAAGAGTATGTGATGTGTTGCTCCCCTGAAAGGGTATCATGTCTTGGTTGGGAGAACTTTCATAATAGGGTTTTCAAGATGTAGAAATTTGACACCTGAACAAAAGTTGCTAAGTGTTTTACTTTTGCCCCATCAGTTTATACAAATAAATAGAGAGGTGACCACTAGAGTACTTTGCAGTTGTCTTTCTTTTGCCAGCTGCTGAAGGCATGCATAGAAGTGGAGACTGGAGCAAAACTGTATTGAGTTTTAAACAAAGTTTCCAGACAGACATTTTGGACAGCAAGGACTATGCCCAGTTCAGCTTTGTATTCCCCTTTTTATGCAGGAGGTAATTTAGCATAGTCCCTGCTACATAGCAAGTACCTGCTAACTCTACTGGTTCAGTGATGAGAAATAAAATAGACAAGGGGAAGGAGACTTACACACAGGTGGATAAGTTCAGGTGGTATCAAGGAGGAGTGAGAGGGTAGCAGTAAACCAACAAAGAAGCAAAGAAAACATGGCGTATGTAGGGCATCATTCACATGTGCGAACTGTTTCAATAATTAGGGGAGGAGAAGTGATGCTCAGGTAATCTGAAAACACCTTTGGGATCTGGAACTTCAGAGGGACCACAGGCATCTTCTGACTTCCTGATGTGGCTCTTCTGATTTCCCACACAGCTGTGAACCTCTGTAGCCCTTTCCTCACCATGGTCTCTATTTCATTTCCTTGAGGCTTTCAACTTGGACGTGTGGTACTTGGTTCCTTAATAATATTACTTCAGTAATGATACAGAATAGTTTGGTTCAGTTTGCGGGCACAATCCTACCTGTGCCTGCTATTCTGATACAATTTTTGATAATACCCCTTTTAGTATAAAAAGCATTCAAGTTTGGATGATAAATTAAATGGTTGCCTGGTAATAAAAAGAAATTTGTAGCATTTTTTTATCTTTTAAAAAAAGTATAATGTTGGAACTGCTTTGATGAATTAACGTGAATGCAGTATCGGTGTAGTGTCTCATGTCTCATACTGAATAGAAAAAAAAGAGAGAGGAAAGTAGTAAAAAAGAGTCAGATGTAGTGAGAAATCAGTTGATTTCAACAAAATGAACTTTAATTACAACTAGTTGCTGGCATAGCCACATGGGAAGGGCACTTAAAGGTTTATAAGGATAAGGGGTAGTGTTTATGGAAGCTCTGGTGAGAAACTCTTACCATTGGTTTTGATCAGTATTTCCACACCAATGGTAATTTAATTCAGATGCATTTAAAAATTGTTCTAAATAGAAACTAAAAGAAATAATTTCTTATAGGAGTGGTCTTTTTCACATTTAAAACAATGACTGAAGGGAAGAATTGTTAAATTTGTATTTTTCCCTTGAATCTTCTGTTAAATGGGATCTTTTGGTGAAAATGGTGATGTCTTAGTGCACTTTCCTTGTTGCTGGGGCAAATACCGTATACCCACGACTTAATGGCGGAGATCTTTATTTTGGCTCACATTTCAGTAGTCTTGGTCCTTGCGGGATCAGCTGGCTCCAAGGCAGAATGGCATGCAGAGGGCATGGCGGACTGAAAGCAGAGCGAGAGATAAGGGAGAAGCCCGGGGCGGGGGAGGCTGAGGGAGAGGGAGATAAACCCTCACCAGGCCCACCCTCAGTGACCTGCCTCTTTTAGCAAAAGCCGTATTGCCCCATAATCCAAACACCGTCCCAAAGCCCTGCCTGTGAGTGCATGCAGCTTTAGGGGACCATCTAGATACAAACCATAACAGGGAGTGATATTTTAATCAAATGAGATATTCACACGAGGACTTCAGGGATATTAATGGAACATGTGTTGGAGTTTTCCTCTTAATAAATGGTGTTAAATTGACTTTATAGTTCATATACATGAATTTGAAAAAACCAAACTTGTGTATTGTCGTATGAATATTTTAAAAAGCTTTTGACCTGCAAGTAAAGCTTCACAGTATTGCAGTATGAGATGTGGGTGTGGGGTTAAAGCCGTGCTTCTGAACAGTCCTTTTTGTATTAATGTTTTGTGAGATCTTGATGAATTTACCTTGAGGTCTCTTAGTTACTTATTCCCTGGAGTATTATCTTTCAAAGGGTAGACTCCCAGAACAGAGGGACTGTTTGTAAAAAATGCTAAAATTCTGTTCATCTTGATATTAAATTCCAGCTTTCTCACTTGCTCTCTGAGTTTTTTCTCTGAGCCTCAATTTTCGAGCCTATATATGGAAGTACTAATGTGTACTACTTAATGTATTAATAGGATGTTTATTAATTCCTAAATCCAGGATAGTCACTCAGCATATAATACAGAGGGTAGTGCTTTCCCAGGCTAGCACTGATAGCACATACCCTACTGAAGAGGGGGAGATACTGTCGCAGGAGTAAAGCTGGGAACTGTTAGCACCCAGTGTCCGGCAGTGAGAACCGCTGCTGGTTGTGAGCGTTCCACACGGTCTTCATGGCATCGGCCTCTGAGTATCAGCCTGTATCGTCAGTGTCTGGAAATCTTTGTTTCATGTATGATGTTTTTCAAGGTAACCCATAGGCTCTCTTGGTTAATTAATGTCCCTTCCTCTGAAATGATCAGGAAAATAATCATATTTGATGATGTTGTGGGCCTGAACTTCATGCCTTGACTCCTGTCTCAAAGGCTTTCTTTTCCCTTGGGGACCTTGCCTCTCATTCCTGCCAGCCCTGTGATAGCTCTTTGGGAGCTCTGTGTTCTTGTTCCATGCCACCTTTCTTCTGGAAATGTGTCTTTAGCTCCCTACAGAAGGTAGAATTTATGCCTTCTGCCAAAACTCGGAGAGTCCCAAAAATGGACTACAAGAGACGACAGGTCTAGACCTATCCTTAGGAGGCCCCTGCCAAGCTGCCTTTCAGGGCCAGACCACGTAGGCCCCGCCTCCAGAGGTGGCTGCAGTTAGCATAGGTAGACAGAGCATCCAGACATCAACGACACGAGGCCCTAGAAGATGGGGTGGGGTGGGGGTTTTCTGTCTTCCTCCTCCCAAGTCTTTCCTTGCCAGTTCCCATTTCTTCTCTCAGAATTTGCCTCTTCCCTCGGTAACTGACAGCGAGAGTTCTCTTCATAGGCCAGACCTTGCCCCTTTCCATGTGGAGGGCTCTTACAAATGTAAAAATTTCCCCTACAGTCCTAGGGTAGAGACTAGTTAGTTTAACCATATTGGACATTTACTCAGGTGATGAAGAGTCTTTAAGAAGTATGGATTTTGTCTACTAGTGGATTAAGGAGATACTCCCAGACTTTAGTATAGGAGTTTTATTAGGGAATCAGGGAACACAGGAAACCTGAGTTCTGGTCTTGGTTTTGCTGCCTACTTACGTGACCTAGGACACATCAGAGACTTCTTCCTGGGGTCCTCATTTTCTTAGCTATTAAATAAATTTACTTGTAACACAATTTTTAAGATCTTTGTCAGTCAGGAAGTCTTAAGAGTCTGTATCAGTGATGGCAAACCCTTTAGAGCTTTCAGTGAATGAGCAGCTGACTGCGGCATGCCTGCTTCACCACCACTGGTCTGCATTAACTCCTAAAAGTAGCTCGTATAATTTGTTGAGAGATACATTGTCTGTATCTGCTGATGGTGGCTACCCTTCTTTAACACGGACTTGGCTAGTGACTGTAGCTGTTTTGTGGAGACCCAGGCATTTCAACAAATCTCCCCTGTGGATGTGGTCCATTGTAGGCCTGAATATTAGTGATGATGTCATTCTATATAAAATGTAGACTCCTCTGTTTATCCAAATGAATTTAGTTATTTCTGGGTTGTGTTATTGAATATATTTCCTTATAAGTTAAATATAAGACCTAAGGCTAACCTTACCATTTATTAAAAGAGAAAATATATGTGGACTTTCTACAGCAAAAAGCATCACTGGGGTTTCAATATAAATTGCATTGAATCTGCATATTGTTTAGGTAATACTGACATCTTAACGATAAAGAACCACAGTCTGATCTGTGAACTCAAGTTGTCTTTCTGTTTATTAGACTCTTCTTTAATATCTTTCAGCCCTGTTTGGTAGTTTTCTGTGTCCAAACCTTTTGCTTCCTTAGTTAAATTTATAAGTATTTTGTTATTTTTAACACTAATATAAATGGATTTGTTATTGTAATTCCCTTTCCACTTATTCATTGTTAGTATACAGAGATGCAGCTGATTTTTGTGTTGATTTTGCATCCTGCACTTTGCTAAATTCCTTTATTCTAACAGTTGTGTGTATGTTTGTGTAGTATTTTCTACATATGAGATCATGTTATCTACAAACACATGTTTATTTCTTTCTAGTTGAATGCTTGTTATTTCCTTTTCATTTTCTTTTCCTTTTTTTTCTTTTTTTTGCCTAGTTGCTCTGGCTAGTGTATCCATTACTGTGTTGGTAAGAAGTTGTTAGAATAACTCTTATTTTTTTCCTGATCTTAGAAGAAAAACTTCCAGTCATTTATCATTGAGTATAATAATAATTGTGAGCTTTTCATGTATAGCTTTATTATGTTGACGTATTTTCCTTTTATTCCTACTTTGTTGTGCATTTTTATCTTGAGAAGGTGATGAATTTTGTTACATGCTTTTTTAAAACATAAATTGAGATGATCATGTGAAATTTTTCTCCTTTCTGTTAATATGATATATCACACTGATTGATTTTCATATATTGAATTATCTTTGCATTCTAGGAATAAATCCTGCATGATCCTGGTGTATAATCCTTTTAATATGCTATTGAATTTATTTTACAAGTATTGTGGGGCATATCTTTCTGCCTCAGTATTTATAGGGGGTAGGGGGGATGTAGCTCAGTGATAAAGCACTCACCTAGCATGCACAAGGCCTGGGTTCAGTTCCCGGCACCTGTGCATACACACACATGCATGCACCGCATGCACACATGCATGCACACACAACACCCCCCACCAACACATGCTAGAGATAATCAGGGTACTGCTGTTCTCACAGAATGAGTTTGGAAGTTTTCCCTCCTTTTTAATATTTTAGAAGAGCTTGAGCTGGACCTAGGTTAATTCTTTTTTTTTTTTTTTTTGTCTTTTTGAGACAGGGTCTCGCTATGCAGTTCAGGCTGACCTTGAGCTCACTTTGTAGCCCAGGCTGGTCTCGAACTCACAACAATACTCCTGCCTCAGCCTCCCAAGTGCTGGGATTATAGGCGTGTGCCATCACGCCCAGCTCCCTAGGTTAATTCTTGAATGTTTGATAGAATTCATCAGTGAAGCTGTGCGATTTTGATTTTGTTGTGAGGTTTTTGAAAAAAAATTAATCAGTCTCCTCTTTATAGGAGTGTTCAGATTTTCCATCCCTTCATGGCACAGTCTTGGTAGGGAGTGTGCTTTTAGCAATGTATCCATTGCTTCTGGGGTATCCACCTTCTTGCCATTTAATTTTATTCTCCAGTAATCCTCTGTACAATCAATAGTCATATCCTTTTTTGATTTCTTGTTTTAGTTATTGCAGCTTTTGTCCTTCTTTCTTAGTCTAGCAGCAGATTTTTCAGTGTTACTGATCTTTTCAAAGAACCAACTCAGTTCTGTTGACTTTTCTTAGAGGCTGGCTTTTGTGACTCCTACTTGCAAATCATCATTTCACTAAACAAACTGGTTTTGTAGGTTAGTTTTGTATTGGAGTTCTGTATGATGTGGAAAAAAATTCCTTTGCTGTATATATCTGGGTATATGAAGGGCTTAAATAACAATTACTTTAAAATGATGAGCTTGAATGTCTCTGCCATTTTTTTTCTTTTTCTTCTTGGGTTATGCCTGGGCCTCCCTGTGTGTTGTAGTTCATTCTTGTAATTTGTTGCATGAAATGTCTCACTGATAGTTAATGGAATGTCTGGTGATTTGATTCCCAGCTGGAAAATTTCTTATATTTTTTTGTCATGCCAAACTGTTAAAATTCAGGTGAGATTAATTTTTATTATTATATTAAATGAAAAGCCAATAATATTCATAGAACTGGGTGATTTTAGGGAGGAAAGGTTAGGGGATCAGTGCATTAAACTGATTTCATAAATTTATAACCTCTACCCACCTATTCCCCCAAGTAAAAGTTTCGGCATTACTATAATTCATCAAGTAGCCTTCTCAGAGATTATCAGCCACAGGGAGTTTTAGTGTTACTTTCGAGAATATACTCAAACAGGCGGTAGATCAGATCAAGAGTCAGGAGCAGCTGGCTGTGGAGCTTTTAGAATATACTGCCAAGATCGCCCTGCTGGAGGAGGCGTGGTGGCGCAAGGAGGACGAGGTGGAGGAGTGGCAGCACAGTGGCTTCAGAGAAGCCCAGGACTACCTGGTGAAGACCAAGGAAGAGCTGCACCTGGTAATGACGGCCCCGCCACCCCCGCCACTGCCCATGTATGAACTTGTGAGTTACCACATGTAGGAGAGCTGCAGGAGGAGGGCGCGGAGCCCATGGGCTACAGCGCTGAGCTCTCCAGCAAGGGCATCCTGGACCACCGCAACGAGGAGAAGCGCATCAGGGAGGTGGAGAAGAATGAGCGTGTGCAGTGGCAGTTGCTGACTCTGAGCAGCGAGTTGTCCCAGGCCACAGATGAGAACAAGAGGACCTACAACGACATCATCTACAGCGAGAACATGAGGCAAGGCCGGGACAAGTACAAGACCCTGCGCCAGGTCCGGCAGGGCAGCACCAAGCAGCGCATTGAGGAGTTGGAGGCCATGTAGAGACCAGGGCAGTGCATAGGGCACTGGGAGCTCTGGCAGAGGGTCCAGGCAGCCTGGGCACCCAGGCTCTTTAGTACTCCAAATCTAGAAACCCTTTCCCCGTGTTCCAGGTCTCTTAAAGAGCAGTTACCGGATGGAAGTACTCTGGGCTGGGCGCCACCCTGGTTATTTTTCCCAGCTGTATCATAGTGCCAAAAAGGCCTGATTTTTATAATTATCCAATCACTTCCTGTTGTATCCTTGGAGCAGGACTGATGGAATTAAGATGCCTGTAAAATCCAAGTACAAACTTTACACTAGTATTTGTGCGAGGTTCAGTATCATTAAAGAAACCACGTCATGGCTTACATCTGTGCCATACTTCTACTTTTGAAATAACCTTACACTGATTGATTTGTTCTTAATTGCTATGAAGGATTCATTTCTGTATATTTACATGTTGTGAGATAAGAAATTAAGCTCTGTCTAAACTAAAGCCCTGTCCCACATACAGTGATTTCCTTCCTCCAGACATTCTGTTCAGCTGGCAGAAATCTGCCATGGTCTCTTGGGACGGATGATACAGGAGGACTCTCCAATTGTTGGACTTAATGTCTAGCTAATAATCAGCTATGGAGTATAGTATTTATATGTGAGTGATAATATGGGTTTGTAACATTAGTTGGGAAGGTTTTGTTCTGTATATTTTGTTACCTTTTACAGAATAAAAGAATTAATGTATTTCAAAAAGAAAAGATATACCACTCAAAATTTTATAACTTCTTACATGCAGAAGTTGAGCCTTTTTTTCAGGAAACTTCAATTAATTTAATTTCTTCTTTCATCTTCCTCCCCTATATACTTTGCAATCAAAATGTCTGGCTATATGTATATATATATTTTTTGTTTTTGTTTTTCTCCGGTACCGGGAACCAAACTCACGACCTTGCGCTTGCCAGGCAGGCGCTTTGCCACTGAGCTAAATCCCCAGCCCCATGTCTGGCTATATTTAATTTAATTTTAAAAAAAGTTTTGCTGTACTAGTGATCAGAGCTAGGCCCAACCACATGCTTGGAAAGTGCTCTACCATTGAGCAATATTCAAAACCCTATATTTTATTTTTAAAAAATTTTTTGAATGACAAATAATGATTACATTTATTCAAGGCTATGCATGATTATGTGACATGTATGCTTCTTATACAAATTAAAAATATGGACCAATTTAAATTTGTGTGTCATACTTGTGCACAGGCTAATCCTTTCTGTATTATGCTTATTTTAGTGTAGTGTATATGCTACCAAAGCAAGCACTTTTATTTCTTCTTCTTCTTTTTTTTTTTTTTTTTTTCTGTCTTTTTGAGATGGGGTCTCACTGTGCAGTTCAGGCTGGCCTTGAACTCATTCACTTGGTAGCCCAGGCTGGTCTTGAACTCACAATGATCCTCCTGCCTCAGCCTCCAGAGTGCTGGGATTACAGGCGTGTGTCACCACTCCTGGCTTTTAATTTCTTCTTCATAATCCTTTTATGCAGTCCTTTTTGGACCAGATACATTTTATCTCAGAGGCATGAAGAAAACTTGACTTTTATAGTGCAATGTCCTTGTTTCTTTCATTATTCCAAAATTTACCTGCAGTTTCAATTTGTGAATCAAGCCACTTATTTCTTTAAGAGATTGCAGTCAAAGTTTGAATAGATTTATTCACTTGTTATCTGATTACTACTAATGATCACTTACTTCATGAGCAAAATATTTCTTATGCAACTAATTTATAGTATATATTTCACTTTATTGATTTGACATCTTTTCCTGTTTTAATATTTTTGAGATTTTATATATCTTATAATTGTCACTGTTTTACAACAACACTACCAACACTTTTGATTTTATTCTTAGTTGATAAAATAGGGGTGCATCTTTCAGTCAAAAGCAGTTAGACCCTGGCATGGTGGTGCATGCCTATAATTGCAGCACTTAAGAGAGGCTGAGGCAGGGGGATCACTACCAGTTTGAGGCCAGCCTGGGCTACATAGCAAGTTCAATGCCAACCTGAACTACAAAATGAGACCCTGTATCAAACAAAACAAAAACAAACAAAAAACTCAGACCAAAACAACAAAAAATAGCAGTTAGATTTGATGAAATAAGTGACCATGATCACTGTAATAATTGCTATTACAGTCTCACTATGACCATCCTGCTTTTACAGTAGGATATAATGACAGTGTAGTAGTTTTATAAATGCTTAGAATGGAAGAAAATAACCCATAAGCTTTAACCCTATATACTTAATCAACTGTTTTTTGGTATGTATTTTACTCCAGTCCTTTTTATAAATAGGTGTACCTGGTTATTTGGTTGTAATTCTAGTGTATGTCCTGTTTTGCTCCTCTTATTTTTTTACTGATATACTTTAATTTATTTCTGCTGTGGGCCTTCTTATATATCATTTTTAGTAGCTCTGTAGTCTTATCTAGTGTGTGACTACAACACAGCTACATGTTGCCCCCACTGAAAGTTTATGTTGCTGCCATTTTTTCTGTTTGAATACTACTTCAGTGTATACTTGTTCCCTATATTTTTATTGTTAATTTTGGCCATTTTCTTTATGCAATATAACTTTTGTAGAAGTCACCTGAACTGTTTCCTTGCCAAGAACCAACCTTTTAAAATAGCTAGTATTATGATACTGTTCGTTTTTTCTTTCATTCACCTGCCCACCTGTAGTACATTAGATCATTATGTATTTGGTAGATGCCAAGAGGCAAACATTCACAGTTGTCTGCCTTTGATACCTGACAGTCTAGTGAGAGATTCATAGACTTGTCAAAAATACATACTAGAGGGTGATATGGGGTATTGGAAATACATGGTTAAAGTTCCTTTGTTGCTTGAGATTGACTTTGACAGCTTTGTTGATTAGTATTTTTTAAGATATCAGGTATGGATATATAATGCCCCATAAAATTAAAAAATGTGTATCAGGTAGGTATAATGGCATATACCTGTAGTCCTAGGTATTCAGGAGGCTGAAGCAAGAGGAGCCCTAGAGCCCAGGTTCAAGGCCTACCTGTGTAATTATAGCAAGACCTCAAGGTCTCAAAGACAGACAAACCACCCTACTCCACCCCAGACCTCCAAAAAATAGTGTATAATAGGTTTATCAGGCAGAAAATGCCCCCATCAGACCTAGGCTTTCCCTTCATGTCCTAACCTGTGTTCTGTGAAGGCTGTGCTCCATGACCTTCCAGAATCCCATGTGTCATGCTTGTTCAACATACCGAGCCTCCTGTTGCCATTACTGCCATGACCATGTCTACTGTGTGCCTCGTTCCTCGTTCACTCGTACTACAGACTGCTCTGTTGAAGGTATTAGATGATTCCTTTCAGTTCAGTTATTTTTTTCCAAATGAATATTATTTCACCATTTTATACTTTCCATAGTACTTCATTTGACTGTCATTTATTTTCTATGATGTTGGTGAAATAAGTGCCAGTTTAATGTTGTCTTGTATTTAGTTAGTTAAAATTTCAGATTAAGTAGATATTTTAGAGATTATACAATCCAACAGAGATTCTGATGTTGAAAATTTAAAATTCTGCTACTAATGATGCTTGAAAGTAGACCTCTCACAGGACAAACTAAAACAACTTTATAAATTTTGGAAGAATCTCTTAAGCCTCAAAGAGGGAGAAAATATTTCTCTGTTATTAAGAATTAATGCAGGTTTTGATGCAGTGAGTCTGTTTTGGAAATAGCCATTTAGGGTTTCACCATTGAGAGGTCTTTAGCCAGCTGTGAATTTTCCTCCTTCATAATTGTGCATTGAAAAAAACCTGACTTATTTATAAATTTGTCAAAAATGTACTCTGATAAATAACTTTGGAGAGTAACTTCCTTGAACTCCCACCCCATTTCCTGCTCCCTTTTCTCTTTCCATCTCTGAAACCTAAATAGCAGGATTGTGTCCTGTTCTTTACAGAGCAGTGGTAGATTGTATACTTACCCCATGCCGCTGTGTAGAATCACTGTCCCATTGTGATCTCCAAAAGAAACAAGGGATGGGTGAAGTCTGGGACTGACTGAGATAAATGTATCTCAGATTTTCAAAGCACCGTGTCAGCATCACGTAACTCACTTGGACAACTGTGGAATGAAACTCTTGTTTCAACCACCATTATATATTTCAAGGAACCTGACTGCACAGAAGAACATATAATAAGAATGGTTCGCTAGTGGATGGGATTTGAAGTAGCATTTACATTGACAACTGAAATAAAATCAATCCCCCCCCCCATGGTGATTTATAGCCTGACTTCTGTGACGGTGGGATTGATCTTTTGGCAGATCTTTATGAAATAACACTACAAGAAGGGAAATTATATGTGTGCATCAAGTTTTGTATTTACTTTATAAGCCCTTTCATGGGGTATGTATACTCTTATTGTGTACAACTAACAAAAGGTAGCTGTTCTTTGTCATGAAAGGCTTCCTCAGTTCTCAGACCATGGGATACCACAGAGAGATGCTTTCTTTCTCTGCACCCTCATTTTCAATGCCATTACTGCATTGGACTCTCGTATGAAGCCCTTTTGATCTTATCAACAGTTTGTTCTGTGCTCTCTATCTTAACTTGTAGCTTCGTCTGCAAAATTTGTGTGGTTAGCCTGAGACACATGCAGATAAATGGCCTATCTTCGGCATCCTCAGACTTGGAACTAAATGTGCTGCATTGCCCTGCACTGATGGATGCAGCTTTTCAGCAAAATTGATGTCTCAGTGTCAGATACAAATCTTTGAGTGCCTTGCTTTGCATTTTCTTCATCATGTGTAGTTCTTGACCACGCGCTTTCAAGCTGCCCTATCTTGTAGAAAGCTGTGTGTGAGTGGAAAGACAGAGAAAACTGTTTTTCTCACCCACTGCACTGGGGCCGCTCAGATGTGGCCAGGTGTAAACAGCAGCAGCCCCAGTTAACAAGCTGATTATGTTCCCAGTGCTTCGTGGATAGCCAGTGAGTGGCAAAGAACTTCGAATGTGTTAAGCGAAATATGTAAAAAGATATAATAATGCAAAAAGTAGATGAGTTTAACCAAAACCTTCTTTGAGCCGTAGCATTCCAGAAACATAGTTTTATTTCTATCTTGAAACATAACCTTCGCCTATGTTCCTCTGTGGGAAAATGTCTTTCGTTCTGCCTTGGGATCTTAAGAACGATAAACATGTTAGTCCTCACTTCAGAAGGTAGTCACCGTTCTCTACCGGTGTATCCTGGGGCAATAATAGCAACTAGGGTTCTCAGGTACAAGCAGTGGAGACTGGATG